TAATCTTTTTTAAAAATGTCTTATAAATTAGGAGGGAGTATAGGCCCAAGCAAGAAAGGAGTTTAAAAAAAAAAAAAGAGGAAAAAAAGTGGTAGGGGGAATGTTAGAACATAAAAAAAAATTACATTTAAATATTAGAAAATAGATTAGAAATATATGAACTTAAAAAATATCAAACTAAATAGTTTAAGCTGTTTTGATGAAGTATGTGATCCTTAAGCATGCTTATATATAAAAAAATCTGTCATTCTAAAGCTGTTGTTCAATTGATTTAGAAAGTCCAAGACTTTACTAAACCTTTCTTATCTAAACTGGTTGTTGAATTGGTTTTTAATTCAGATAAGCATTTTTATCTTAGTTAATTATGGTTTTTCCCATTAGTGTTTGCTTGTCCACTAGACAGATGACAGTGGAAAGAGTGTAGTGATATAGCATTATCTATCTTCTTTAGTTTTCTCTTCCTTTCTATTTTATTTATTTTCAATTTTTCACTCAATCCAAACAGTTCTTTAAAATTATAATTCAATTATGCTTATTGGCATAAAAATTAACAAACTAACAACTAACAGTAATCCGTGCTTAATACCTTGGTTACTTAACACAGTAATCCATAATAATAAAAATATTTTTGAAGTTTGGTTGCGGGTGTGAATAGATTTTGAACCATCGTATAATACACTTATACACACATGCATATACACATATATGTGCGCGTGTGAGGGAAGCCAACTCTACTCAATAGAATAATATTGATAGGAAGCAATTCTATCATTTTGTTTGAAAGACTTTTAAAAAGTTTATAAATTTAGGTATGGCTCAATAGAATTTAATACTTCCTCCATATTAAATTATAAAATATTTTTAATTAAAATATTATATGTTAATAAATTTTATTAAATATAATTTTTTTAAAAAAATTAAAATACAAACTTTTATAAATATTTTTTATTTAATATATTGAAGAGTAAGAGAAATAAAAATTAAATAAAAAGATAAAAAATAATATTTAAAATAAAATTTATTTAATAAAATATTAACGTTCTCAAAGTATATCATATTTAATATTTTGATGTGCTGATTATTTGTCAATAATATTTTATACTCTCTTTATTTAAAAATATACAATATTTTTAAATGAATCTCACTTCTTAATAAAGTAATTACTTATTTTTAAATTAATTTTATTTTTTTATATTTACTCTTAAATATTTTATAATAAAAATAAAATTATTATTAATAAAAATATTTTTTAAAAAAATAATAATTATATTTTAAAAGATTAAAAATATTTTATATTTTTAAATAAAAAGTATAATTTAAAGTGAATGAAGTAATCTATTATTTGAAAAAGAAAAAAGAAGGGGAGGAAAAAATTGAAGTGATGGAGGATGAAGGCGACGGCATGAAGTTACTGAATTGACAATTGGCACAGCAAACGAAACGAGAGGGCGTTGAAAAGTCGTGAAGGCCTGCAAAATAATATCATAGACATTACTTTGAGTAAAGTGTCTAGAGAAGACATCAGAGAATATAATAATTATTTTTTAATTACATTATTTTTTTTTTTCTGCGGGGGTGGTTGGGGGGACAGGGAACTGTAGGGGTGCTCGAATGTGGAGAGGGGATAACAGGTGATCATATGTTATACGCTTCTTTCTTTCATTTGAAGATATAAATTATTTTTATTTTTATTTTATTTTTAATAAAATAATTATTTATTTTTAAACTAACCCTATCTTTTTATATTTATTTTTATTAAATATTTTATAATAAATATAAAGTCATTTATCAATAGAAACACTTAAAAAAATAATTATTATACCTCAAAAAATTAAAAATATTTTAAATTTTTGAACATCCACCTTTTTAAAAAATATCTTATATTTTTAAACAGAGAGTATGTATATATATATATATATATATGATCTATTTTCAACCATTCTAATATTTATACAAATTTTATATTATACATGTCTATTGATTTTAATCTTTATCATGATTAAACTTTAGTTCCGCTACTTCCACGTTGTGTAATGTGGAGGAGGAAGAGATTGAGAATGACTTGGTTAGATGACGAAATCGAAGATCGAGCATTGCATTATTATTATATTATTATTATTATTATTTGCAAAATGGCCGGGGATGCATTTATTGTGCAATATCTATTCACCCATAATATCTCCCATGGTCCCGCCAGTCCACTAGGCCTCCATAGCCCGTCCTTTTTCTTGTTTAATATTAACAACTTAATAATTTTCTTGAGCAACAACTTAATAATTATTGAGTATTTCTTGCGAAACTTTTTATTCAGGGTGAATAATAAAAAAATAGGTAAAAAAAGAATAAAAATAATTTTAAGATTTAAAAAACCAAGTATTGTTTTCAATCTTTAGAAAGTAATAAAAATATACAAATTATAATTCTTTTAATTATATCATGGGATTTTAAACGCGCGGCTTATATCCTTATAATATCCCATGCCATTTTTGCTTCTCCGCAGTGGCAAATGATAAGTGTATCTTTTGTTTCTAACTATACCTTGCTTCACTCATAAGTGTATACTCGAATTAGTCTTCTGCAGCTCGAAATGGCCACAAGGACAAGTGAGCACATTTGTAAAAAGATAAGTAATTTAATTTATGAGATAAAAATTATAATTCATTATGTTTTTAAAGAGTATGATAATTTTTATATTTATAAAATATATTAATAAATTTTATTACATTTATTATAAGACGAAAGATAATTTAATTTATTTTTATTTTTAATTTATTTTATTTTAGTAATTGAACGGGACCATATATTATGATTCCTTCGGTAATAATAATACAAATTTAAAGGGGTATCATCAAAACAAAATTATCATTAAAAAAGTCTTCTTTTGTCAAACCCCATAAAGGCATTGAAAAAGACTTACCTTTTCGTTTGTTATGACAAAATGAATAAAATAAAGAGTAATTATTTTTTTCCTCTCAGGATAGACAAGACAGAAGGAGTAATTCTAAAAGTTTTTTTTTTTAAATAATCTTCATACATGTATTTAAACTAATGAAATTATCGAATAATTATCCGAGAAAATGTAACAAATGCGAGAGAAAAAAGTCACACAAAACAAGTCGTGTTTTTGTCAACAAACTTGCAATAAGTGACGTATCCAATAACTCCTTCATCTCACACGGGCATAAAATAATATAAAGGGTATATCTCAGGGGTCTACATTTAAATTTATTGCTTCCAAGACTTTGCAAAGCATTCATTGAATGTATTTGAAACATGCCAAATCCAAACAACAGGAAACAAAAATAAATAAATAAACAAGCCATATTGTTTCGCTTGCAGCACGCAACCTATCCACCTTCACGTGCTTGTGATCATGTTTGGAAAGTTTGGAAAGGGAAATTTTTTTAAAACAAGCAAGTGTTTGAATCCAGTGTCTCTTCTTTGCTTTCCAACTCATCATATATAATCATTCGATCATCACTGACTAAAGAGTTTTATATTGCTTCATTTTTTACCACATTCTATATACAAGCCTTTCTAACAATCGCAGCCTTCTTCAGACACGAATTTAGATCCTTCCAAAGAGAACTTAATTAATCTTAAGAAAAAGATATAGAGAAGTGAGCAAGACTTAATACTTCACCCTAAAAAAAAAAACTTTTTAAAACAATTTTCCATTGCGAGGAATATAATGGCCTATTTTTTTTCCACCACAAAAGGGAAATTATATATCACGAAAGCAAAAATACATCAATAAAGCCAAAACCATCACGGCGTAAGAGTGTCATATGTTTTTTAACAACGTAACCAATTCACTTTTTTTTTTTTTTGGGTTTCGTAACAATAACAAATAAAGTTATCTTTTAAAAATACCCCACACAATCAACCAATTAATATGAATAATATTGCGGTAAGTCTATAATAACAGTATAAAATATAACGTCTATAGATAGATGCGCTGTTCAAAATCTTAAGTAATAGGTCTATTATCAAAATTCGATGCAAAAATCCCAAGTAATAGGTCTATTATCAAAATTCGATGCAATGCACGAGACCTCCTTAGTTTTTAAAAAGAAAAAAAGTCCCTAGTTCCACTATTTCAACGGTGTTGAGTTTTTTTTTTTTTATTTGGAAAAAATAGTTCTTTGGTTGAGCTTCCATTAGCATGAGTTTCAGTAAGCTTATGTATGCCCATGGAGATATTTCTTATACTTGATTAAAAAAAAGCGCCTTGTTTCGGAGAATCAGAATTAAAGATCTTAGGCCGTTATGGCCTAGTGGGCTTGTGTTTCGACTTCGGCGCATGTACTTTTATTGCCCCAGCCCTTTCAATTTGAGTTAATTCAGTTCATTCAAGTCCGGCTTTGCAAGAAGGGGAAAATCAGGACCCGCGAATTCCAATGCCATCATCAGCGTTTTGCCCAACAAAATTATTGATAAAGGCCTGTAATTTTTAATTTTCAAAGTAAGCTAACAAACTTGAAAATAATCCGATCAAACTTGCGACCTCGATCTTACAAATGAAAAGAACTTTGTGCCACCAAGTCATAGGAGGATTAGCATACAAGGGCTTGTTCTTGGAATCCGTACTAAATTATAAAATATTTTTAAATAAAATTTTATATATTAATAAATTTAATTAAATACACCTAACAATTTTATCTTTTAAAAAAAATATAAAATTTTAAAAATATTTATCATTTAATATATTGAAAAGAGAAAATATAAAAACTAATCATAGAGAGAGAAATGATAATATTAAAATTGATACATTTAATAAAATTTTAACCTACTTAAAATATTTTATATTTTAGAATGAAAAAATTTGTTTAAAAGTGCTATATAATTAGGGACAGGAGGAGTATCATGTTTTCAAATATCAATCATCAACGCAACCATTAGCTAGAATATGACATATATATATATATATATATATAGGAAAAATCGTTGGGGTCTCATGTCACCTTTGTAGATTCTGTTGCAGAAATCCATAGGTCAAACATAAATATCATAAAGAACAACACATGAGGGTCTTAATTGATCAGATAAGGGAACTCAACTGTTATGACCCTTGTCACTGAAATACAATAATCTTAGACTTCATATATTAATAATGCCCCAAAACACCATGAAAGGCATGAAGTAATGAAGCACATTGAACACAGAGAAAGGAGAAGATGCAGAAGAGTGAGAGGGAGACGGCGCCGGAGCCGCCTCACGGCGACCATGCTGGACGGCGACGGCGACTTTCATACCTTGAAAGCAATAGCCTCCGCTAGAGATGTAATAGTACGTCCTTGCCTCTGTCAATTGGACCACGTCTCTCCCACCACGCGTCAAGTTCTTCAAGAACCCTACATCTCTGCAATTCTCGTAGCTTGTCTCGTTCACCTCCAGAACGTTAAAGTATCGCTTGTCAAAGCTGAATACTGCGCGCGCGCGCGCGCGCACACACATGTTATTCATTTCAGCTCATGAGGTACTCATCTTTAACATGAACACTTCACATATCCAAGAAAATAGTGAGAACAGACAACCAGTATTTTTTGTTTTTTTGGGTTCTTTTTAGTCTATGAAGTTTTCACCTTTTCCTCTATTTTTTTTTCTTGTCGTTACGTATATCCTTCTTCTGATTATATATATATATACAGAATGTTTTTGGTTGTTGCTTTCATGTACGCATGATGGATAGTCAGAATAGGGAACGGATCAATTAAAAAGATGAAACAGTGGTGACAATGGCACAGTGATTATATGATTTCGAATTGGAGAGCATCGGTCCAAATGTAACTGGCAAGCATAATTTTCTCATCATTTTAAAGTAAGATTCTCTTTCTTTTTGTTCTGTCGGGAGCCAGAACTGTTCTTTCAACTTTTACTTTTCTCCTCTTCTCATCACTTTTATCACACAACATGTTTTTATCAAAGTAAATTTTACTAGGTCAGTATTATATCAACTTAATTTACTCCATGCGAAACAATCTTAATGTCGTCCTAAATGACGCTGATACCTTTTTGCCAGTATTGAAACAGACATTCCAGGCATATACATCAACATATATAGGTGATGGCTTTTACTTCATATATATAGCCTCGGTGATATTTCTAACTTTAATTAACAAAAAGGAAAAGGTAATGCTATTTTTTATTTTGGCGTTATTATTAGGCAAAGTGGGGGCAAGCTTAGTTAACAAATATAATGCTGTTGATGATATATATTAGGGATAGGATACATTGAGATCTAATAATACCATTAAAGACCATCGTAAACTTCCCTTTAACAAAAGTTTTTTTTTTTTTTAAAAAAACATACATAGGATGTATAAGCAGATAAAACCACACAATGCCTCCTAATTTAATCAGCCAATTTGTGATCCCCTCCTTTATCCCAGTGAAGAACCTAAGTATAAGAGATTCAATACACTTAATTACTCATTTCATTTGCACCTCGTTAATTAAAGATATCTTGATTAATTTAGAACATTGAAGTTGTCCATCAAGAAAAAAATGAATAGAGTGACATAAAAATGAGACGCTCAAGCTTCTGAGTTTTTGGATGACCACTCGACCAGTACAAGAAGCTCAAAGTACAAATGAGCCTCTCAAAACATTTGCGGAGTTCAAGGATTGAATCATACCAAACTAAGCCTCAACGTACCGTAGCGGGGATCAGCAAATTGAATGAAATAAGGGAGTATCTAACTATAGGCAGATAAATCTACATTCAAGATCACTGCAGTCAAATCCATATCGTCAAATAAAAGAGAAAGAGGGAAAGAGAGGAAGTAGAAAGTTGAGTGAGAGAGAGCACATACAGAGCCAATCACCGAGAATAAATTGCTCGTGAGCAGACCATTCAGTATAGTTAACGTCGTGACTGATCCAACCTCTGGATCCACCCACCTTGTGCAGCACCGGATCTCCCACCGCCGCCATTATAGGCAGCACCGCCACCACCATCGCCACCACCCTGCTCATCACTCTCAACCTCCAATTTTGCATCACTTTCTCTCTGGCCAAACACGCCTAGAGAAAATGAAGCGAATCTTGCACCTCCACAACCACGTTCTCCGATCTGAAAACCGTGAGGCTGGGCTTAGCAGAGAACGGAAGTAACGGCTTGCTCAAATTTAAGGACAGCGCTGCACCCACCATGCAACAGGCGTGTAGTAGCTTGCACCAAAATGTCGATCTTGTACCGAGAAGGGCCCCACTTGATACCCTCTAAGTGTTCTATCGCCGTACACGTGTACTTTAATACCCAATCCCTTGTGATGAGTACTCTTGATCCTTTTTCTACACTTCGCTTTTTGAACAGCTATTTCTATTTCTGTAATACTGCTTCAACATATAATTAATTAATGTTCAGCGCTACCTTAAAATAAGAAGTTATGAAAAAAATAAGCATTTATCGTTTTCTGGGGTACTATTAATTCTCTTGTTTACGTGTAGGGCCAACTAATTTAGTGCTGTGATGGTTTCGATGATAGTATTAATAATTTGGATATTTGCAAGTAAAGTTGGACGTTACCATGTCCTTTTTTATTCAGACTTTGCCAAGGGTGATTGTTTCTCTTGTCATTTGTATAATTAATTACCATTAGCAGTTCCACTTTTTATCAATATATTTACTACAAAAATAGATCAGAAGCTGTGTCACAGATGTTGAGCATAGGTCTTGTTATAGTGGAAATTAAGATATTCTAGTATTCATATATGAGAGAGGCCACTGAATAAATTTTTAGCTCACGGTCTCAGCCTTAAAAGATTCGATGGATATATGAACAAATGAAATATAATCTAAATATAATTAGGTGGAAACAAAACTTGTTAGCGGAAAAGAGAAAAAAAAACAAAAGGCAAGAAACTAAAGCTGTATGTAACTGCAAAAGATAAATAAATGAGGAAGTTGAATGAAATACTTTAACAACAGGGATCAAGAGAAACGGGGAGGCCATGAGGGATAGACATATTAGTCTATCAAATTTACTTGAATATTCTTTTTTTTATTGGTCCAACTAGTTGATAAAATTAAATTAGCTTATCCTGCATGCATGGTTGAATTCTACAATATATTACCGCGTCAAATAAAAATGTTAAAAATATTTTTGAGATTAAGATATACCGGAGCATGTGGAATAAGAGAGAGCGGGTAGAGAAGGAGAATTCAAGTCTATTCAATTAATTTTATTATTTTTATAAATTCATTTATTTATATATCTTAGTGTGACTGGAATACTAAGTGGTGCTCGCAAGGAAAGAATTGCCTTTTCTATTTGCCTTGTCTTCCAGTTCAGTGATTGGAGAGTCTACACTCTTGCTCTTGCATTCTTTTCATGAGTCTCTCTCTTTCTCTCCCCAACGTTGATCACGAGTGCGCTTTGGGACTTTAACGCCCTTTCACTTTCTTTTTTTTTTTTTCACCTTCTATATTCGATTTCATTTGTGATATAATAAAACACTTTCATTGCCTATCTCATCCCTTGGTTTTAACGGAATAAAATGTAAAACAAGCGCAGAGCTTAGGTCAAGTTTGGATCTAGTGTTGGATCGAATTCGATAGATCAGTATCTCCTGTTAGGCCATCAGTTATCCCGTATACTCAATATGGGCCAGACTCTTTTCCAGGAAAAAGAAAATGGCCCAGACTCATTAGTTTCTAAGACGTGAAATAATATCTTCATTTTTTTAATAGCTCACAATATTTTTTTTTATAGAAAACAATTCTATTCAAAGGTATTAAATGTAAAAATTTCTCCTAGTGAAAGTTGAAATTTTGGTTTGCCATGTTTTAAGAAATTAGCCCATTCGATTAGGTCCAACCATTGTTGTTGCCTAATTTCATCTTATGATATGGTAAAAGGATAGTTTACTCTAGTGGGCAATGGCTCAAACTTAAAATGTTTGTTTCTTAAATGATGAAATCAAAACTTAAATTAATTGGAATTTTTATCAATGGTAAAGAGAGAACTAGTGTAGTAGAGGAGTGAGGTAAAAATAAATAAATAAAATAAAAAGGGAGAAATGATTTGGGATTAGGATTGGAAAATATAAGACGAGGCCTGTAATATTATTACTTAATTAACTCCATATGTTTTACTGAATGACCAAACAATACAATAGTATTTGGGGAACAACTACCTATATCACATTACCATGGTAAAAATAAGGTTTAACTATAGTTAAAAGAGAGATAATCATAGTAGAAAAAAGACTTAGATTGAATATCTACTATGGATAATAGGAATAAATATATAAATTTTTATAATTTAAAATAAACAACAAATAGTCCCTACTTTGGTAGAATATATTATACCATGGTAAATAAGATCAAAACTATTTAATAGTTACTAGTATATTAAAAAAGGGTAAAACTTGTTATTTATAGAATATAATTTCTTAAACCATTGGGATCTCAAATTTTAACCACTAAAGCAAATATTAACAATTTTTAAAGAAGCATATATCAGAGCTGGAAAATGATTGAAAACATGGAATATCATTTCAAGTAAATCCAATTTGGAGAAAGGGTAAAAATGCCATTTTAACAATTTTTTGGAGATTTGTGGTGACTAGCACAAATTCCTCCGTGACTTGACATCCTTTATGTCATACACCGTGACGTAGGCACCTTATGCTATAGCACATTGCATAGGTACAAGAACAATATTATGCTGTCATAATCAAATTCAAATTATAACAAATCAAAAAGTTGGACACCTGGACTAAAAATAACTCCTTTTTAACATTTAAAACCTTTAAGGTGTCCAAATTTCAACCAAAGTGCCAATAACCAAAACAATCACCTAGTCCAAACCAACGGATTTAGGACAATTTGTACAAAACACAACAATAGATATATCTAGTATAATTTCGTTTTCAATCCTCAACCCTAAATTTATCAAAAAGCAAAGGGGAGATAAAGTTCACAACATAAAATTTTAGTAATAGTTATAGTCAACAAAATAATCATCAGCATACTTATACCAATATTAGGCCTTGAATACTCAATGGCAGCTTATACAATTAAGCTTAGGGCATTAAATACAACTAATCAACACATGTGACACATAATGGTGCAAGCATTCAAAAGAATGACCCTATTTGACAATTTCATTATCAAACTACACATATAAATATAAAAAGAGGCACGCAATAGGAATGCAAAATTCTTAAGCCTTAGAAGCCTTTCCCCTAGCTTGTTCAGAGCTAGTACTTGTAAAAAGATAGGATAGAGGTGAGTATAATCACTTAATAATTAAGAAAATTATAAGTATACACATGCAAGTCAAATTAACTAAGGCAAGCAAAGTGGGCTATTAAAATCAATAAAATTCTTAATGTAATATCACATTTCATGATATCAACTAATTCATGATCAATACTCCTTATAACCCTTATATCCGCCGATCGAATTTGTAGGCTGTCAATTTAGTAAGGCGAAGTTCATGTGAATGAACTAGCTTAAGCTCACCAATTATAAGGAGCTACCAGGCCAAAGGTGCTACGCTTACTTTCAGACACAAATTAACCCAATTTTTGAATTCATTTGGGGTGTCACAATGTTGTATTCCACACCTAGTCTAGGGTGATATTAAGGGCAAAGGGTTTAGACAACTTAAATTTACACCCATTTTTAGGTGAGATTTAGGAATATTCGACCCTAAACCAAACACTGGGGCCATTTATGGTGTTGATTATATCCATATGGATAATATGATCCTAATTCCTCTTACGGCAAACTCCCACCCAATATGATTATGCTAAATATTCTCATGCTCATAACATTATATATATATATATATATATATATATATATATTATATGACTACATCATGTTTTCATAAACTCAATTCATCAAGTTTATAAATTCTATAACTTCATCTATAAATGTTTACAAACCACACTTGCATACTTTTCCAAATGATAGAAAATATCAAATTTAAACTTTAGAAACATAAATTTCTATTTAGCAAACTATAAAAAGCATAGTTCAAGTGCTTAAATAACCATATGGATAATATGATCCTAATTCCTCTTACGGCAAACTCCCACCCAATATGATTATGCTAAATATTCTCATGCTCATAACATTTTATATATATATATATATATATATATGACTACATCATGTTTTCATAAAACTCAATTCATCAAGTTATAAATTCTATAACTTCATCTATAAAGTTTACAACCACACTTGCATACTTTTCCAAATGATAGAAAATATCAAATTTAAACTTTAGAAACATAAATTTCTATTTAGCAAACTATAAAAGCATAGTTCAAGTGCTTAATAACCATAATCAATCTAACAAGCAATAGCATAAAGTAGAATTTTCCTTAGTTACCTTAAACCTTTGAGAACTCAAAGGCAAAGGCTACGCCTAATACAAAATTGCTTCCTGAGCTTGAATTGAGCTCAAAAGGTTTTACAATCCATAACAATAATCATTATTAATAACCAACAAGCATAGCACTTCCAACTCTCAATCACCCACTTTAATGACCAAAATCCTAAGCCATAAATGCAAACTATTATCCAATGAATTTATTAGCTTTCATTAACTCTATTTAGCCCCCCACAATTAAATTTCTTCATCAAAGAGTCTAAGGTTAATTAAAATCATAGAAATCTAGATCTAATGACCATATCACTGGTACCCATTGTTTTAGGAGCATAAACTAACTTCCAACAACTTCATTTATCCCCATTAATTTGGCCATATCCATCAAAAACTCAAAAAGTTGGCTAGGGATCGAAATCAAGAAAAAAACTATTGAATCATATGTTTTGATAATTATAAAACCAAGAGAAAAGGTGTTTGTTATGTGTGCAGATACATAAAGATTTATGGATAAAGACAAAACCTCAAGATCATGAAGAATTAATAGAAGAAAAAAATTTATAAGATAAATTATTTAATTATCCTAGATTCAATGTGAAAACTTTGAGAACTTAATTACATGTTATCATTTTTAAAATGAATGCATCATCTTAGGCGTATAAGTCTTATTTGTGCATCTTAGGAATCATCTTAGTCAATTCAAGCTTGTGAGTTATGTCTTTCTAGCTTAATTGGATTATAGAAGTTGATCTTTTTCT